TTTTTTCTTGAGTCTGTTTGCTCATGCAAAATGAAATGCGATTAATATAGATTAAAAATGAAAGATATTTAATCGTGATTAATCGAAATTAATCCACAGCAACCCTATGATTAATCTGGTTAAAAATTTTAATCGTTTGACAGCACTAATATATATATCTTATTCACAGACGCACACCCATCAATTGGAAAAGAAAAATGTTGCTGTGGTCTCTTATTTTTTCCCACAGCTGTATTTGCCCATCAATAGTTACAACCTGCCAACTACTTAATACCATGCTTGAGAAAGATATGTCCCACTCTGTTTTCAGGCAACTTTCCAAGTGGTGTTGATCTCAAATGAAGAAACATCATTTATGCTGATGAACTACGGCAGAATTGATGCCCCACCTTATTACGTGAAGGTGAGAATTTCAGAAGATTGTACAGCAACAATCTAAAGCAAGGGACTACGTCTGACAGTTAAAGAGCAAGATCATGATGTGCAGAAAGGCCATTTAGTGAATGATATGTATAATAGTTCATATTATATCGTTAATAGACTTTGACCCTTAAATCCATTAGGTTGCTACATAGTCACACTCAAAATGAGACTATGTACAGTAGCTATGAGTAATTGTGGTACTGGAAATGTATCCATCAATCTATTTTCCACACCACTTTGTCCATTAAAAGATTACACTGAGCCTGCAGACATTCCCATGCAGCATAGGAAATATACTGTATTTGCGTATAGTACTGTGCAGTATTGTTGGAACTCTACAGATTTGGTGGTTTACTTCATCTTTGCAGGCTGGTTATGACACCTATGGTTCTGTCAATTATTTCAATATGCTGGAGTCCTTCAGTGACAATATTACAGACCTATCAAACACAACCAACACTGGTATTTCAGGATGCTGGGCATTCCGGACAGATGTGTCACACGTATGTGAAACTGAAGGTAAAAAACTGAAACTGAAAACATAATTTAAAATGTAGTTTCCATGGATTATGATATATTATGGTACAAAGTCAATCAACAATGTTACCCACGATCAAATTTGTAAATTTTGAAATACTAACAACAGCATTATAAACACCAGGTTCATTTCTCCAACTGGGTGCCTCCTTCTGGAATGACAGCAGCTGTCTGGAGATGTGCACCTGCACAACCTCTGGGGTCCAATGTGAGGCCATCTCCTGCTCCTTCGACCAAATGTGCCAATCAGCTTCTTTCAAATACAGCTGTCAAGATGTGGTTTGTCCACCCAATAGCCACTTTGACTCTCAGGCCACCGCATGTCCAGCCACATGCTTTGACCCACTATCTCCAAATAACTGCACATTAGCCCCCATAGAGAACTGCACTTGTGATGAAGGGTATGTCCTGGCTGTTGGGGAGTGTGTGCCTGTCCAACAGTGTGGGTGCATGTTTCGGGAACAATACTACAGTGTGGGAGAGACTGTCCTACTAGGAGAAGATTGCGGACAGCAGTGCATCTGTAATAGCAGTGGAATGACCTGTTTAGATCACTCATGCAACCCACAGGAAGTGTGTTCTGTTCAGGATGGACAGATAGGTTGTCATCCTCAAGGCTATTTAACCTGCACAGTGGGAGAATATGTGTACCGCACGTTTGATGGTTTAGGTTTCCAGTATGAAGGAGCCTGTGGACTGATACTGACCACAGTTACCAGTGGGACAGACCTGCCAAATTTTGTGGTATCGACTCAGAAGGTTCCTAATGATCCACAGGGAGACGGTTTCACTAATATTCTGAAATTTGAATCCAATGGCACTGATGTTTCTGTTACATTGGGAGACACCAGTAC